TTGCATACAGGAGTTTAGCATGACTGACCTCTGAGAGGCTCCACCCAGCAGCTGACTCAAACAGATGCAGACACCTACAGCCAAACAGTGGGTGGAGCTTGGAAACTCTTATGGAAGAACAGGAGAAAGGATTGCAACCTCTAAGGAGACAGGAACTCCATAGGAAGAGTCAACTAACCTGGACCCTTGGGGCTCTCAGAGACTGAACTACCAACCAAAGAACATACACAGGCTGGACCTAGGCCTTCCCACACATATGTAGCAGGAGTACAGCTTGGTCTTCATATGGGTCCCAAACAACTGGAGTGGGGGGCTATCCCTAAAGCTGTTGCCTGTACATGGGATATGTTCTTTTAGCTGGGCTGCCTAGTCTGGCCTCAATGGGAGAGGATGCACCTAGCTTCACAAAGATTTGATGTGTCAAAGTGGGGGGTACTCAAGGGTGCACCCACCAGCTCAAAGGAGAAGGAGGTGAATGAAGGGACAGATTTCGGGAGTGGTTCCAGGAGGGGGATATAAAGTAATATATACATGAATAATGAATACACACATACACATAAAAATATAGACAGTCATAAAAATAAATATCAAGTAATATTCTTCATTGATCTACCTGAAGCAAACATTTATGGCTTTCATTGTAAACATCCATATAAGTAAAGCATTCAACTAAGTCAAAGATCTCCGTTCTACTCATATTGTCAGCCAATTGTTGAGTAATAAAACATAATATTTGCTTTTGATGTCATTTTGCCTAAAGAGGCAGCAGTACCATCTCTCATAGGTAGAACATAAATGATCTAGTTTGAGTTGTTGGAGATAAACATAGCTTTAGAGTAGAATCTTTGAGGTAGCAGTATTTTGAGATGACCGGAGTTTGGTACAAGCTTACACAGAAATAAAGTTTGAACTAAGACTAGGAGAACAAATCCATGGGGCTGGATGAGAAAAGCACATGTGGTAACAGGAGTGGGGGAAAGCTAAGAAATACACAATTCATCCAATACACAAAGTGGATGCAGAGCTGGCTGCTGTTGAAGACTATGGGAGACAAGGGTGTTGCGGGGATACTTTGTAAGGATATATGGTTGCATTCTGAAAGATGACTCTTAAAAAGAGACTAGATGTAGAGATATGGGTTGCAAGTCTCTTGCTACTATCCAAGGGAAGGGCATTAATCAATTAAGACTAGACGTGTTAAGGGCATGAGAGATGCAAGGACATCTCCAGATAGAGCAGATGACTGCAGACATTCCAGTTCTGTGATGACATAGGGCCAGTGCCACCAAACAGCTTCATGGGAAGGAAGAGGAATACAAAGGGGTATAGGAAGGAAAGGGAATATGGCAGAATCAAACAAAATGAAGTAGCCATGAAAATCCTGCATGGATGCCTGCTGTTTTGTAAACTAGTGAAAATTTAAATTTACTTCATTGCCGGCCCACTTCCTCTCCTCCAGCTCCTCCTGACCTCTTCTTCTTTAATTATTATTAATTATTATTATTACATACACACAAAGCCCGAGTCCGTTTAGTGCTGTTTAGTGTGCTTAGGATTGACACATTGTGGGTGAATAACCTATTAGAAGACTGCAACAGAATAATTATCCACTCAAATGTTAATATTAGCTTCTTCATACTTTCTACTCACTGTTTTCCTCTATTCTGTGTGTTTGGGCCTATAGCAATTTACATATGCTATCTCCTGCCACCAGCCCTTTATTTGTGGAGTGTAAAGATGATGATTGGGGACATTTGCTGATGGAATGATGCTTCTGCTCACGCATTCTCTTTCAGTTTCCTAAGTAGGAAGTAGCGCTATCCTTTGGGTTTATCTTCCAGTGCCTTTCAAATTCCCATGACTAGCACTATTTCCACTTCGGTTAGTCAAAAGGAGCAACTGATGATATCTTGTTATGAAAGGTCAATATGGTATATTCACTTCATTCTCCAGATGATAGATTATCAGTAGGGTCTGATCCCTGCCACAATATAGATACTTCTTGAGTGCTTTGGTAGTCAAAGTGACATTGTTTGGTGAATGGATAATACATATGTGCCTTTTTTTCCTGAAAACCTTAATTTTTAATTGACTTTTTCAAACAAGATAACACAGAAGTCAGATTTGACTTCTGATGTAGGATATACAGTATCTCCAACACAGTTTTTTAGGGAGATTAACTTTCTCCATTGTGTGAAAAAAGAAGAAAGAAAGGAATGGGAGAGCTAGACATGATAGGAGAAAGAAAAGAAGGAAGGCATGGAGGTAGGAAGGAAAGAAGGCAGAAAGGAATTAAAATAGGAAACAGAAAATAATAGAAAAATTAATGACCTCAACTTTGGATATTTAAATATATATAAACAAAATTCATACATGGAGATTTATCAAAAAAGGAGAAGATACACATAGATAATGCCATGCCAGAATTAAAGGGAAAACATTACAACTGTGATCCTAGAAACAAAAATATCATAAGAAAGCTAAGAGCAGTTGTTCATGTCTGTGATTCCAGTACATTGGTTACTAGGATAACACAGTGATACACATGTCTCTTGTCCTGCTACAGATATTTATAATAATAACAAATAGTAACAATAATGCATTGAAATTAAAATATCATTAGAGAGTACCATGAATATTTTCTAACCAACAAACCAGATAACTGAAAAGAAGTGGAAGTAGAGAATCTGAGAAACATACTGCCCATAAGGAAGCATTATGAGTAAATGAAAGGTCAGAAAAAACCCAACAAGTTATAAGACTAAACCAGTAATGATGTAACTTCCAATTGGAAAAAAAATAAAGACTTCAGAACAGGATGCCTTTACTAGAAATTTCTAGCACTTAAATAATAGCAAGTATGAAGCCTGCCACAAATCCATAGAGTTCTATTTCCATTTCACACTGATATTAAAACTAAAGACATCATAAGAAAGAGAAACTATTAGCCAATATTCTTGATGAAGATAGATGTCTCCCAAGCTTTTCTTTAAATATGAGTAGCAGCGTTGACAACTCTTGAGTACTGTGCATCTGTATAACCACGGTTATTCGGAAAACACCAGGTCTGTTGCCGGATCATGCAGGAATGGGACACACTTGGTCCATGCCCATAATGGCCTAGGAATGTCTGAATATAGGTCAATACTTCTGTAGCTGACCCTGTGCAGCTGCTGCCTCTGCTGTTTCCATCTTCACTGACATCAGAATTCAGCTTCTTTGTGGACTCAGCTCTCCAATGTGGACTGAACACTAGTGCCTCTCTGTAGCTGTCCAGTGGCCATGTATGAACTGGGTTTACCTGGGGACAGGGGGGCAGGGCAGGCGCAGTTGCCAGCATGAAAGAAACATGAACCCAAGACAAGGTTCTGACCAAGGCTCCAAGTTTAATATTCTGCACTGCGTTTATATTTTATGTTTATATTTTATGTTTTATATTTTATATTTGGATTTTGTTGTGAAGCAAGCTCAGCAGGCAGTCTACTCCTCTAAGTTCCTGTAGGAAGTTGCACGTGCAACCAAGGCAGATGACTCCACCTAGGTCTTTAAGGTCCCTTGTAGCAAGCACTCAAGGTCTATTCAGCCTGCTCAAAACTGGAAAAAAAGCCTGCTTAAGGCTGGGAAGAGCATACCTCTTCTGGAATATTCCAGGCCATCAGCAACAGCTTGGACTGACTGCTAGACACTCTGTCTCATGGATTGTGCCATTATTAGAGTCTTTGCTTTGCCTGTGTAGGAATAACCATCTAATTCTTTTTTAATATGTATTCCTTCTATTGGTTCTGTTCCACTAAAAAATCCTGAGTCATGCAAAGATAAAGCCTAATTTTAACAAATAAAGTTTGGGGGGATTTCAATTATTCCTCATATCGCTATTTTTGGATGTTTATAAATTAAACTGCCTTAGTTAGGGTATCAATTAGGGTTTCCATTGCTGTGAAGAGACACTATGACCAAGGCAACTCTTATAAAGGCAAACATTTAATTGGGGCTGACTTATAGTTTCAGAGGTTCAGTCCAATATCATCATGGTAGGAAGCATGGCAACCTACAGGCAGACATAGAGCTAGAGAAGGAGCTGAGAGTACTGCAACTTGGTTTAACTGCAGACTGGACAGACTGACTCTTCCACACTGGGCAGAGCCTCAGTGCCCACTCCCACAGTGATGCACTTCCTCCAACAAGGTCACCTCCTAATAGAGCCACTTCCTATGGACCAAGCATGTTCAAACCACCACATAGGGTTTCATTGCTGTGAAGGGACAGCAAGACCAAGGTAACTCTTATGAAGGCAAGCATGTAGTTGAGGCTGGCTTACAGTTTCAGAGATTCAGTCTATTATCAACATGAAGGGAAGTATGACTGAGTGCAAACAGATATGGTGCTGGAGAAACTGAAACTCCTACATCTTGATTCAAAGGCAGCCAAGAGGAAACTGTCTTCTGAAGGCAACTAGGAGGGAATTAGATCCACATACTAGGTGGAACCTGAGCATAGGAACCCTCAAAGCCCACCTCCACAGTGATGTACTTCCTCCAACAAAGTCACATCTACTGCTACAAGGCCACACCTCCTAATAATGTTACTCCCTATGGTCAAGAATTGAAACATGGGGGGGGGGGGGCAAACCTATTAAATCCATCACAAAAACCTAGCTACATACAAAATAACTAAAACATATATGCTATAATGCGTAATTTTCAAAGTAGTAACATAGGGTGGGAAGAAGGGGAAAAAGAAAAAGAGAGTTAATTTTCCTGAATGGAAAGAAAAAGTAATAGAAAAAGTAATTTCCTTAAATATCTCAGTTGGGACATGGAAAGAGTGAATGGGTCTTGTTTTAATTTCTATCACTACATCATAATAAAATTCTTTTGTAAGTATGCATCCATACATTTGCAATCACAGCCATTGGGAGGCCAGCCTGGGCTCTACAGTCAGTTGGGGAACTACCTTAGAAATCACCAAGGCCTCATTTCAAAATAACAAGGCAAACAAAATAAGTCAAAAACCATTTTTAATACTTTTCCTGATATACAGGGAACAGGCTTATTTTTAATGATTAAAAACATACACCAAAAATTATCAATATATTTATTCCCAACATTTTCCTCCAAAGAAAAATGGAGGGAAATGTTATATCATCCCACTATCATCCTTTTAGCATGTAAAGTACTGCAAGTTCTCCCACCTACATATATAGTTCAAAGACAGTTACTCTTTGATAAGTACATCAGAATAGGATGTTAAAAGTACACAATTCATAACATCCATAAAACTGTTGTGCATGAGATTTCAGCACTTTTGTAGCAATATGAGGAGTTGAAAATACTGTCATTACAAATGCTTTCTCTCTCTCTCTCTCTCTCTCTCTCTCTCTCTCTCTCTCTCATAGATATAACAAAGATGTGAATCTAATTCTATTAAATAATAGAGTTAATATCATAACCTTAAGACATATCACCCAACTGGTCAATTAAAATTGAAAAATGGAAGTGCACTCAATGCAAAGATTCACCACAAGAAACATTCCATATAGTATTGTTTAATACCACACATAACACAAATCTGAATGCCCATCCAAGGGCCATGATTAATTACAATGTAATCATACAGGGGAATTCTATGTAGCCATTAAAAAGATTGAGGTAGTTTTATTTATGCTGATATAAAAATATATCCAATACTAACTTTATTAGCTTTTATAAATCCCAAACTCGAGTGTGTTTTTGACAAGGAGATGTCTTGACAAGCAGATGTGTGCATATGTACACATTTGTAGATAAACATATAATTGCACACATATACCACAGTCATGTCGTATGCACAGGAATTATTTTGGAAGAACTCACATGAAATTGTTTAGTGATGAATCTTTTTGTTCCTTCTGCAGTTATTTCTTGAAGAAACTCAGTTTTCATCATACTGTATTGCACAATTTAATATTTTACCATAACTATGTGCTTTCTTTGTAATAATTAAATCAGTTCTTCCTAGAATTAACAGGTAGCAGCAAAGATTCCAAACTTCCAATGACAGAAGAACTTAAATGCAAATCCACTAGAACATTCGTGCTTTCTAAGAGCTTTGGAAGAGCTAATTTCCAAGTAGTCTTTCCATTGTAGAATTTTAAAGAAAGCAAAGCAGTAATTATGATGTCTCTTGACTTCTTTTTCTTGGCTCTAGATTCCAATGGCTGACAAAGTAAGCCAGTCTGTACCATTGGCTTCCCCTTGTGGCACTGGAAATGCCTCCACCTTGGTCACAGTATCATAGAGTGGATTGCTCTTCTCTGTGTAGCTAGCATAAGGCTGCATTTCATCCTTGGAAAAAGCTCAAAGTTAAAATCCATTCAAAAGAGCTAGAAATCATTACCAAATTTACTCATGTTTCTACCATGCGAGCACCTACTAATAATGTTTATATGTGTGTCTCATATGAGCAGAAGATCAAAGCTTTGTTCTAATAATCTATCAAAACATTTGTTAATTTTTTATATTTTGTGTGAGATGGTTGTTGAGTGAATGTAGACATGTAGAGGAATGTGGTGACATAACTATTTCAAAATAATGAGTCAAAGAAAATAAGAAGTTGGTCATAGGAGACTAAGGAACATGTTTTAAGCTTAGATAAGAGAAAAACTATAGTGGTGCTTAAAATAGAGAAGTAGAGAATTGAACACAGTTTTATGGAGACGTGAATATCTACTTTGATTTCCAGAGATTACAATCTAAATAGGGCAAAGTCATTAAAATACGGTTTATCAGACAAAAAAGTAGGTTGGAAGATAGATAGATAGGTAGATAGATAGATAGATAGATAGATAGATAGATAGATAGATAATAGATGATAGACAGATAAATCCAGAATTTTTCTTGTTATAGTTGCAAATCAGTGTACTCCGTTGATTTCTGGTAGTTAATTTCTGATTTATTGAGACTAACATATTAATTGTCAGAACATTTTGATACTATAACTGTTTATAAGATATATTATAGATATATGACAGGTATTTAGCAAAAGAAGTATGTCTGACTGCTAACTGCAAAATCAGAATTGGTTTGTTCAAAAAATATTAATACTAATGCAAATTACAGATTATTCTGCTAGATATAAGACCAGGTGGTTTTAAAGTCTGCAAATATTCATTAATTTATCTTACCTCCTCAATAGCTGGAGTAGCTTCCGATTTTGGCAATTTACATTTTCTAAAAAAAAAAATAAGAAACAAAACAATCTGGAGTTAGCACAGGCAAAATCATTGTTTAGAATAAACAGTTACAGTATCAAAATGTTCTAATAATTAATAGCAAGTCTCAGTAAATCAGAAATGAACTACCAGAAATGAATGAAATACACCGATTTGCAAGTATTATAACAAAGAATTCGGGTTCTTAAGCCAAAAAGCAAAACGGTGAAATAGAAGCTTGATGCAATAAAATGTATGTGATGCCATCTCTTTGTGTGTGTGTGTGTGTGTGTGTGTGTGTGTGTATGCTATTTTCTCAAATTAAAGATATTAGAATGATCTAATTCTCAGCTCTAATTGAGTTAACTCACCATGTTTGGCCATCTGAGCAACTCACTAAACACTGTCATCATGCAAGGTAATTCTACTCTAACACTTACAAGAACATTGTTGTTCCTCCCTTCTGTAAAACTCAGTCAGTCAGTCAGTCAGTCAGTCCCATACTTCTCACCCTTTTCTAATCCAATAAGGTTGAAGAAAAATTTCATCAGTTAATACCTGAAGCCACTGCTTTTCAAAAGCCAAATGCATCCTATGATGATCAAAATAATAACAGGTGGGATGATGTACAGAATATATCGTAATGATTGGTCACCTGTAATGACAGACAGAAAGTTTTATGGTTCAAATGGGGGTAAGTCCAGACAGTAGTACACTTCTCATTGATAAGATAAAGCAGGAGTGCGTGTCTGGTACTGAAACATGCTCAAAATCAGGTGGCCAGAAAGATCATGAGTTCTGTGGGAGAGGGGGTGCAGGTCTTCTACTGTTGCTTTGCTAAATGGACATACTGTCCCATTGTCTTTTAAACATTTATTTTACACTCATAAATTAATGCTCCTTTAAATCTTCAGTGACTGATGTTTAATGCAGGGACTTATAATTGCTCAAGGTTCTGACAATAAATGGTTGTTGAATGGAATGTTCAGTCTTAAACGTTGTATCGGTACCACCCCATCTAGTTTCAAGGAACATGGAAGAAGAGTGGTAAAAAGAATGTAACAGCCAGAGGATAAGAAGGACTGTTGTAAAACCCTATCCTCCAGGAATAAAATAGGTGTTGAACTCAAAGCAGCACAGGCTACAGGTACAAGATGTGTACAAGACTGGGCCTGTCAACATTCCACCATTAATGGGGGGATGGATCATTGGTTGTCCTTGTTCAATTACATAATACCCCATACATACTCATGCAAGCAACCTGTAATAAATACAATGTGCCACACACACACACACATCAACAATGACAACAACACAACATCTACAACATGCACATCTGCATATAACACACACATGCACATCTACACATAACACACACATGCACATGAAGAAGTAGAAGGGAGCATGTTGAGAAGTTCAATGGAAGGAGATAAGAGAGAATAATGAGAGAAATGTTATCAAAGGCCTCTGTGTGTGTGTGTTTGTGTGTGTGTGTATGTGTGTGTACACACATACATATATTCAGATTTGTACAACTGTGAATGAGAAGCCATGTTGTGCAAAGACATTACTCCTAATTGCCATTTTGTATCCTGAAACCCAACATAAAGCTAGGGATGTTCCTGTTTTTATCATTGTATCATGAGCTTCAAATATATAAATAATTTCCAATAAATATTGTCTTCAGAGACAAGATGGAATGAACAGAAAAACTTGGTGCTCACTTTGAACAACTGCAAGAAAATCAGAAAGAGGAGAATCACCACTCTTGATTGTTTACTCAATAAGCATAAAACATATAAAAGTATTGATGTATTATATCAATAATCTGAGAGTTAAAGTCTACACATCACTGAAGTATGAGAATATTTTATGATGGTCCTTTAAAAGACATTTAGAGAAGTACAGATTAGAATTATTTAGTACTGGCAGTTCTTTTCACTTGATACAAGGTTACAGAATACTTCTCAGGCACAGCAGTGGATTTCCTAGATTTAGAGCAATGTCCAAATAAGCTGCTCAAATTGTCTTCACTGTTCTGAGCTATTCATTATCTACTACTGAAGAATAAATTAAATACCAGTTCCCTCTCAAGGAAGGAACAACTGCTCTGTAATCCCACCACTCGGAGCAGATAAAGGTAGACCATGAAGTCAAGGCTACAAAAAGAAATCTTATCTCAGAAGAAGATAAAGAGTAGAAAAAAAACAGAGAAAAAGAAAATGCAAGGGAAACCAGGTAGATAGGCTTGTGGATAGCTTATCAGGTAAAAGCACATGCTGGCAAGCCTGAGGACCAAATTTCTATCCCATATGGTAGAAGAACATGTTGTTCTCTGGCCCCTACATACTTCCTATGGCACATGCACAAACACATACATGCATACATACATACATACATACTAAAGGCAAAAAAAATTAAAGAAGGTACTCACCACCTCTACTCAGTTGTATGAACAGAGTCTGGTTACCGGTTGAATGAGAGACAAAGCAGGACACAGCAAATACATTGTTCTGCTCCCAGTGGCATGTGCTCCTGACAGTCACAGTGCCATTGCTGTGTGATTCATTCTTAGTGACACAATCCCCATCTGGATTCCAAGAGATCTGTGCAGCAGGCTTGCCTGCAATTGCCTCACAAACTGTAGTTCTATTTTTCCCTGGAAAGTAGCTTACTTCAGGAGGGACTGTAGAGATAGATGAAAAGGAAATATAAAGACTCAATCTTGTCACAAATCACAAGGACATTTTTTCTAACTAAAATTGGTGACCTGAAATACCACAATATGTGACATTGTCACTTACCCAGCACTTGGAGGTCATGGACTGTTAGGAAATTCCCTTCAGGGGATACTGTCTCACATGAGTAATGCCCCTCATGCTGGAGGGCCACTGTATTGATCTGAAGGTTAGGACTGTGGTCAGGTGTGGAGGCCCAGGTGATGCTCCTGTTCCTACAGGTGGTTTCATTGGTCTCCCTTGTTTCTACTCTGTAGGCTATTATGCAGGAAGGCCATCCTCTGGAGGTTATTATCCATGTTATTAATACTGCTTTTGTCAGTGAAACAGAAGGGCAGCAGAGCAGAGCCTTTGTACCCATCTGTACAGACACTGTAGTGGTAACTAGATACACAGAGAGAGAGAGAATGAGAAAAGGAAACCTTGTGAGTTAGGTCTATCCACAGTAACTTATATGAAGTTACACTAGAACAATGCTTGACTAATGAATGTATTCCAACAATAGATTTTTTCTCACTTTCCTATGTTTAATCTATCAAAATTAAATACGTTATTCATCTTCTAAAATAAAAGTTCAGGCATGTGGGCTACGCCCAACTTGCACCATAAATCCTTACATTGCTTGTATGCTGATGTAAAGAGTCCATGATGGATGCAAGTTTGCTGAGTGGTGGTTTACTCAACAAAATTATCTGTCACAATCACTTGTTAAAAAAATTCAGAAATGTCATCGACTTAACAGGAGCAGAACTTGATGAGATAATCCGTGCTTATGATAAACATTGCATTAACGTCTTCACTGTCCTGTATCAGTGTCACTTGACTCTTTGGGAAACTTAAATCCTCACAAGTCACATTCAAATAAAGGTAAACTAATCAGATGAAGAAAGAAATTCTTCAACAGAGACCTGGGAGGGTGCTAATGCCACAGTCTTCCCATCACTCTAAAATGACAAAGGTTTAGAGGCAAGCATTCAGTGTCCCTTATGGCATAACACTCACATCACCAGATTCTTTTACTCATCCTAAATCTGTCCATCAGCCAAGGCATTAGTTATTGCTTCTAAACAAGATCAACTCACATTCCCACAGTGCTGGCCACAGGGTAAGCAAGAATATTACCTTGTGTCATAGATGATGAACTGTTGTTCTGTGTTGTTTGATTCTTATCAGTACAATTTGACTCTAGAAAATATTTAAATACAAGTGCTTAAATATTTAAATGATTGTAAGCAGGAATTCAAAGTTTTACCATCACTGATATGTCAACATCATGAAAATTACATTTATAAGATGTTAAACAATCATTTCCTATTTATGCGTGACCTTATTTTGCCAAATAGTTTGTATAGTAGACCTACCTTTCTTCTCCTAGCTCCTTGCCAGGTCCAGTGTAGGCATACCACATAAGCTGACTTCATTAAACTCTTTCTTTAGATGTCCTCCCCTAATTAAAGCCATGTGGTCCCAGGCCCCCTGCACATATGTAGTAGATTTGCCGCTTGGTCTTCATGCATGTCCCTCAACAACTGGAGTAGGGGCTGTCCCTGAATTTGTTGCCTGCCTGTGGATCCAGGTTCCCTAACTGGGCCACCTTGTCTGGCCTCCATGAGAGAAGATGTACCTAGTCCTGCAGTAACTGATGTGCAGGGGGTTGGAAGGTGATACCCAGGGGGCTCCTCCTTCTCAGAGGAGAAGGGAAGGGGGTTTGGGGGAGGAACTACAAGAGGGGGGATTGGGATGAGGTGGCTGATTTTGGGATGTACAGTGAATAAATCAATTAATTAATTTTAAAATAAGCCATTTGGTCCAATAATGAACACTTCCCACAGATGAAGAAACAAAGCCATTCTCAACAGAATCACAAAGAGCTCATCCTCACGCTTCCTTCCAGCTGTTCTATTTTGTGACTGAATGGCAGAAATGAAATAGAGTAAGGTAGGAGAAGGATGAGAGCCCTTTCTCCTTTCCACTCCTCTCGTGAGTTCTGTAGAATTGTTCACAATTATAATGGTCCTAAACCAGGACTGGTTGCTCAGAGGGGAAGACAGGAGAATCATGATGTCAGAACAGCTGGCCATATAGGTATCTACACTACCATGAAGTATTAGTATGTTTTTTAATAATAAAATTGGACTAATTATAAATGTATATTTCAAACAAAAGCACAAGAACACCTATGAGAAATATCAGGAGAAATAAGAAAAATACAGGAAATCTGCAATTAACAACATAAAAGGATAAAATAACAACAAAAATTGGTCATTAGTTGGAAAGAGGGTGGAATCAGAAGACATGCTATTAAGCAGAATAAGCCAGGTACAGCGAGGTGAGTTACCCATGTTATTGCATGTGAAAGCAAAATGATGCCATGACCCAAAAGCAGAAATGGGATTAGGGTGGACTGGGAAGAGTATGAGCAAGGGGAGGGGCTGGTGATGGAAGAAGATATTTCTTCTTTCTTTCCTTCCTTCAGAATAGAGGATGTGTTATAAACTACAAAGCTACAGCCATTTAATTTAATTGAAAATAGATTCTTTCATAAAATAGATTATATTTGTGGTTGCCCCTCCCCAACTCCTTCTAGATCCTCCACACCTACCCAAATCCACACCCTTTCTTGCTCTCTCTCATCAGAAAGCAAATAGTAGACATCTGAAATATAAAAATAGTAACAAAATAAGATAAAGTAAAAACAAAACAAAAAACAATAAGCAAAAAAAAAAAAAAAAAAAAAAAAAACAGGAAAAAATGGAGCTAAAGTAAAAGCACCAGGAACACATGTAGACACACAGGGTCTCACACATGGAAACTCCATTAAAACACACAAAACCAGAAAGCGTAATATATAACTAAAAGATCTGTAAGGGGGAAATACCCAGACAAAGCATTAGGATAAAAGAAGCCTCCAAAAGTACCATGGAGTCTATTTTGTGTTGGCCATCTACTGCTGGGCATGGTACCTGCCTTTAAGAGTAGTTTGCATACTCAGTGAGTCTCAGTTGGAAAAAGATAGTTTTCCTTTGTGATCAGTTATCAATTGGAGATAGCTTCTGGGTTAGGGTTGGGTCTCTATCCAACTCCCCTCTCACCACTCAGACTCCATCTGGCTAAGACTTGTGCAGGCTCTCTGCATGTTGCCACAGTCTGTCAGCTCATAATGTGTGTCAGTTCTTCTGTGCCTAGAAGGCCTTGTTTCCTTTCTATATTCCATCCCCTCTGCCTCTTACTATTTTTCTGCCCCTTCTTCAACAGACTTTCCTGAGCCTTGGAAGAAAGAATTTGATGGAGACATCCCATTTAGGAATGTTAACTTTTTCCTATGATAGGATGCAGATTACCTTTCAGTACCATAAACTATAGTAAAGATGAAGATTCTAGGTAGGCAGCAGCCAACTTCTTCATGTTCCATATACAATATAGGTGTTGTCTTTAGCAATAAAGCCTGACCATCATTTTGTGGAGACAGACCAACAACATTGCCAATACAGCCACCTAAATTTTAACAAAGATGCCAAAAGTACACATGGGAGGAAGATAACCTTAACAACAATTCACGCTGTGAAAATTGGATGTCCATATGTGGATGAATAAAAGCATGTTCCTATCTCTTACTTCATACAGGAATCAACTCTAACTGGATCGAAGACATTAATATAAGAACTGAAACTCAAATCTGTTAAAAGAAAGTATAGAATAAACATCCAAGATACAGCAATAAACAAAGTTTTAGTCACTAGGGAAATAAAGCCAACTATAGACTAAAGAAATTTCATTAAATTACGAAGTTTCTGTACAGCAAAGGAAATAATTAAGCAAAAAGTCTACAGAATGGGAGAGACCTCTTTGATAATTATATATCTAATACAGGACTGATACACAGAATATTTTTAAAATTCAAAAAAAGTTAACAAAAAAATCAACTGACCTAGTTATAAATGAGCTGAAATGAACTGACAATTCTCAAAAAAAAAGGACAATGCAAATGGACAATGAACATGAAAAATGTCTGATCCAAGTACTGACCAGGATGGCCCTGCTTACCTTACAAAATCAGACAAGATCAGGCAAGTGTAGACTGGCATAACCATATAAAATAGTTCATAAACATTAACTGTACACAAAGTAATTTGAGAGCCTACAATCCAAACACTCTCTGAACACCAAGCACTGTCTTGTTGTTATGATTATTGTTGAAGAATCGGCATCAAGGAAGCGGTAGTGGCAATACTTCTTTAATCCCAGAGCTCGGGAGACAGAGACAGGTGGATATCTATGAGGTTCAGGCCAGCCCTGAGCTACACAGAAAAACCCTGTATTTAAAAAAAAAAAAAAAGTAACGCATTGTGCTTCCTGCAACATTTGCTGCAGTAGAGTCCCACAGTACCTTGGTGAAATAAGACCTTTCGTTGCTGAACTTAACACCTTTTTGCTATGTTCTTCAGGCCTTTTCAGACTGCTAGAGCTAATGCTAATTCTGATGAATACATGCATTACCACAGCTGAGCAGTTTGCCCTAGACACAACTTCTGACTTGGTCTTCCTTGTTTGACACGTCTGCTTCCCTCCATACTCTTCTTTTTATAACCAATAACTATTTCTTCTTCCAGGATCAGAGGTATTTAGTGTTATCTCCAAGTGTGAAGAATGTTCTTAATTATCTGTCAAAGCATTTCCAATATGGTTGTAATGTGTTGATTGGTTATTAGCACAAAACAAGAACAGCAAACCAAACAGGGATTTTCCTTGATTGAAATCATAGCACATCGATGGTTTGAAATTTAACATTTTGTGAGATAAGTTCTAAGTGCTAATTGGTAGTATCCATTTTTTTAACAGAAATTACTGGCAAAGTAAAAGAGTCATTAAAATTTTAATTAATAAATATTCCTTCTACCCAAGACTGTAAGGTCCTGGAAACTAAACAGCTATATCAAAAATAAAATGTAAAATTTCAGTCCAATGATAAAAATATGTTGTGGTGTCCAGCAGTTCCGCTTCCCTCCCCACTCTCCGTTTTTATAACCAATAACTATTCCAGGATCAGAGATACTTAGTGTGGTTTTGAACAGGAGTGAGTACCATGAGGACGAGAGAATGGGAAAGCTTCTGGATCAGAGATGAAATGTGAGTTGGGACTTGGAATTCTTAGGATGTGGAACTTCTGAGAAAAGAGATTGCAAAGAAAAAATGACTTTAAAGGGAAGCATGAAATGAATGGGTGTTTTAAAAAGCTATGGCTAGTCAGTGTTGACAAAAACAAAACAAAAAACAAAAAAACAAAAAACAGACGGATCTCTGGAATCAACGCTGGGAAAGGACAGCTCTAGTTCTAAGTGTAAATGGACACAGGTGGGTTAGGGAGGCAGATTTAAGATAATCCTAAAACCTCAAGGATCCAGTGCAATACTCCCTCGCCATGTTGAGAGGTCCAAGAGAATATGGCTTCTTCTGCATGGTTATTATGTAGAACAGTGGCTTGCAAACTAGATACATGGCTGCCTGAACTAGGGCTAAAAGTATTTATTTACTAATGATCCTTTTTACTTTTCCAGTAGTTTCTGCTAAAAGAATGGATACTAGCAATTAACACATCTTTATAGCAAGCCAGTCTGAAAGCATGATCAGTTTATGAGGAAAATTTACAATGTTTCTTAGTCACATGGGAAGATACTTAACATCATTCACATGGAAGAAATACGAATTAGGGCTATATTGAAATACCATTTCTGATCTCTGGGATGGACAAAATATAATCACTTGAGAACATATCCTGTTGGGTAAGTGGATGAAATTTCACAACTTTGAGAGTAGGAAGTTTAACAATATACAGCAAAGTTACTCATGCATTCTTCTCTTGACCTATACATCCTACTTCTAGGGATATATCCCAAAGATACATAAATAATAGTAAGATAAATATTTTTACAAGGTGGTTCCTAGCAATATTTTATACAATAGCAAGTCTTCAGAAACCCAAATATCCATCCACAGGAGATCAGTTGACAGTCTGGTACATCCCTCAATTGAAGTACAATGAAAATCTTTTCAAATAGTGAGGAATTGTTCTATACATTTCCACTAAGTAACCGAACATATTGTTTAATAGAAAAATGCAGTATGTGAAAAAACATCTAACATTCTATTACAATCTACCATAAGATGAAAGGAATAGTAGGTGTGCA